CCCCCCCCCGTTCATGGCTCCTTCCCGATTCCCTGCTGTTTTAATAATTCTACCGGGCATTGCAGTTTTCTGAGGACCTATATTCCCCTGATATGGGGCACAGGGTTTGCTGTTACTGTAAATTATGCCATCTATTGTTTTATTGTTTTTATTGTTCTATGGATTTTATGTTGTAAGCCACCTTGAGCCCACTTGTGGGATCGGGTGGGGTATAAATAGATTATGATGATGATGGTGATGATAGTAATAGAAATGTATGAAGAGAGAGGAAAAAAACCTCCTGTTTTTAAAGCTCAAGGTCAAGTTATACAAGGCTTTTTGTTTGAGCTCCCAATGTACTGGTCTATTTGTACTGGTGCTTGTTCATTTATTTAGAACATTTATCCAATGATTAGAAATCAGGCATGTCCAACTTTGAACAGGTAGTGATCTATTTTTTCCAGCCAAAAGTGCCGGTGATCTACCACCATGAAAATAAAGTTTCAAATTAGATTCAAATTAGATTTCAACCCACTAAAGTTGGGTTCCACCGCCACCCCCCCCATTTATAATGCACCTTCTGTCAGGAGATCAAGTGGGGCTGGTGATCTACCTCTGACCCCTCCGCAATCTACTGGTAGAACGCGATCTACCTGTTGGTCATACCTGGATTAGATGAACATCAATACCCTCAACCTGCTCATGTAGTTAAGATATCTTTTCTTTAAAAAGCTTTTCCACCACCAGTGCTTCAATAGTAAAGCCAGAGCAACACTTCACAACCCTCTCCCACTCAGATCTTCTGGTTTCACACATGAGTGGAAACTGCCACCAGACTCAAGAGGGAAGATCTGAAATTAAAAAACAACAACAACAGTGCATTTTGTTTTGTTCTTGTTTGCTAGAAATAATGTTTTCAGGAGTGTAGAAACTTATTCTGCTCTACCTTCTTCACATTTCTATCCTCTCACTGAAAACTCTAGTTTTATTTTCTAGTGTTCTGGTATAGATGTATCCTAACATACCTTTTCCCTTTCAGGGGACACATGTTATTGCAGATTTCCGTTCTGTGCTTCTTGATCCCAAACAATGGGAGAAACCTCAGGACTTCAACCCTAATCATTTTTTGGACCAAGATGGGAGCTTTGTGGAAAGAGAAGCATTTCTTCCATTTGGTGCAGGTAAGTCCAGAAGTATAGCTATCAGCCTGAAGACAGATCCAGGTGGGGTAGCCGTGTTGGTCTGAAGCAGCAGAACAAAGTTTGAATCCAGTGACACCTTTAAGACCAAAATTTTTTTTTTCATGGCTCTTCTTGTAGCAGGAATAGAGGGGGGTTGGTTTTGTACCCCCCTCTATTCAACTGCTGTTTGTAGTATCTGTACATGCCAATAAAGGTGACTGACTGACTGAATAATCCCCACAATCCGATTCAGGAACGAGGACATGATCGCGTTTTATAAAATGGTTCACAGGATAGAAAGGGTGGAGAGAGAGAAACTTCCCTCCCTTTCACAAAATACTAGAACTTGGAAGCTCCCGTTGACGTTCATGGGCACAGATTCAGGACAGACAAAAGGAAATGCTTGCTTATTCAATGAGTAATAGAAATGTAGAATTCACTGCCAGAGAATGTAATGATTGTCACAAGCATAAATGTCTATACAGGAACGGGTGGGATATAAATCGAAAATAAATAAATAAATAAAAGAGTGTTAGATTAATTCATGGAGGATAGGATACTAGTCGTGGTGACTAAAGGGAACTTCCATGTTCAGAAACTGTAAACCTCTTGAGTGCTAGGAGGCAGTATCAGGGGATGACCTCTGTGCTCCTGTTTTTGGCCCTCCCAGAGTGTCTGATTGGTCCCTTTGTGAGACTGGAAGTTGTACTATTGGTCTGATCCAGGAAGGCTCTTTTCATGGGCTTAGAACACATGGAAAGGCCTTACTCACTTGCTGCCTTCTCTTGTTTCCCTTACAGGGGCTCGTGTCTGTCTGGGAGAGTTGTTGGCAAGGATTGAGCTCTTCATCTTCTTCACCAGTCTCCTGAGGGCATTCTCCTTCGAGCTGCCGGAAGGAGTGAAAGAACTCAACGCAAAGCCTATATTTGGGGGAACACTGCATCCCCATCCTTACAAACTCTGCGCTGTTCCGCGCTGCAGTACATCATAAAATATTTCGAGTCGCACGTTTGTTACTCTCAGTTTCTCCATCGTTCCTTTCACGTAGTCCTGATTTTGCTCTAACCGGCTGTATTCATTTTCTGTTCTCAGTTTATCTGTCAGACCTTGACTGATGCCCTTTTAAGAAGAAGAAGAAGGAGAAGAGATTGGATTTATACCCCGCCCTTCACTACCCAAAGGTGTCTCAGAGCGACTTACAAATTCCTTTCCCTTCCCCTCCCCACAACAGACACCCTGGGAGGTAGGTGGGGCTGAGAGAGCTCTGAAAGAAACTGCTCTTTTTCAAGGACAGCTCTTATCAGAACTATGGCTTGCCCAACGTCATTCAGCCAGGTGCAAGTGGAGGAGTGGAGAATCAAACTCGGTTCTCCCAGATTACAGTCCGCACACTTAACCATTACACCAAATGTAAGATGAAATTTAGGCCAATCCGTGAGGTTCCTGGTTTCTGAATCTGTTACTGTTGCCACACATACAATCTTATTTTCTTGTTCGATGCCTTCAAACAAATGTTCAATACAGGCTTCTCACTGGCCCATAACTACAGTGGGGCTATTGGGGACTCCGTCCCTTCATTAAAGTGTCAGCCCCCTTCCTTAAAGGGCCCCCCACTTCTTTAAACGCTTTTGAGAAGAAGCAAGGGTGGTGCAGGCTCCACTCCAGTTTGGTGTAGTGGTTAAGTGCATGGACTCTAATCTGGGAGAATTGGGTTTGATTCCCCACTCCTCCACTTGCACCTGGCTGGATGACCTTGGGCAAGCCATAACTCTGGCACAGCTGTTCTTGAAAAAAGCAGTTCCTGTCAGAGCTCTCTCAGGCCCACCTACCTCACAAGGGTGTCTGTTGTGGGGAGGGGAAGGGAAAGGAGTTTGTAAGCCGCTCTGAGACACCTTTGGGTAGTGAAGGGCGGGGTATAAATCCAATCTCCTCCTCCTCCTCCTCCTCCTCCTCCTCC